GGTAGTTATCTATTCTGCATATAAATCTAAGTCTGATGCAAAACACTGCATAATGAACAATCTGTGTAGTATCTGAGGTTACAATTCACATTCTTGACTCAAGACAGGCTTGGTTCTGTGGTGAAGTTCCTCTCCGACAGAAAGAGCATGCATGGCTATAACAGGCCTCAAGTTGATGTTGTGTGCTCTGGAAAGCCACACTTCACCATCCCAGCTCAAACCAGAGGGCTGACTGCAACAGCAGAGCATGCATTCTCCTCTCAAACAACTGAATTGATTCTTCATCTTCTCACTGACAGTAGATACTATCTACTCCTGCCTGGGCATGTTTTGCAGGGGATTAACTATCTTTTTCAGTATCTTTTTCTTGCAAGCATATGGAATACAAGGTCCTAAAATCCAGGTGTTCTGAAACATCCCTTGTAACAAGATCCAGAGCAGCCACTGTGAATAGCACTGACTTTTAGCAGACTAAAACCTAGTGAGTATACTTATTTTTTTGTTGTTGTTTGTTTGCTTGTTTGAGTTTTTTTCTGTGTGGTTTATGCCAGAACTAGATAGTATCATTACAAAAATGGATACTACTTAGCAGTACAGTTCCACTGGCTTTTGAATTCCTGCATGAGAATGAACCCACATGGCACACTGATACTCGAAAACGGGAAACTGGCTGTTAACACCACCTTTGGTATGTCAGTGTTTCTTAACAGTAACACTGCTCAGGTAATACTCATTACACACTCATTTCTGATGTACAACAGTAACAGATCTCTTGGGCTACATTTAACAAAACTTGTTGAAACTGCTTGTACATGTACAAGCAGATTTACATTTCAAGTGTGGTGTTCGGAATATGCAGCTGTAACTGCAGGTAATGAATACTCCCAGACCAGAATTTCAGAAGGGTATGTCCCAAGACTAAACAGAAATGAAAGAAAGCAATTTTGATATCTGAAATTAAAGGAGAAACATTTACAAAACATTTCTAAGAAAAAAGTCTCTGTTTTTACCTTGAACTGTACATTTTTATTCCACAGTGTTTAATTAGCTTTATGGCCACTTTCTTGGAAATGAAATGTCAATCAAGTAAACAGTTCACATTTTCAAAACAAGCACCTTACCAGGATATATCTTCATGATTGTGCTAAACCTGGCAATTTTGCTATAATCATACTTTTCTTCTTCAGTCTACATAATAAATTACCCTGTACAAGACAGCTTTCATTTTTCCTTTTCTTTGAGCACAACTGTTGTTCTCATGTTGGATTTTAACAACTTCACATGCTCAAAAGACAGTCTCTTAAACAAAAAATAAAATTTATCAGGTCACAAAGCAACATGGAAATTGTGAAACTAGTAATAAAATTGTTGACATCCTTACAGACTACCATCCTGCTAAGTCTCTGGAAATTGTAGTGCAATTCTGTTGACTTCCAAAGGAATGCATCTGCCCTGTGAGATCACTTTTGTATAAAACCTTCCTCAGAAGGTTAATGGAAATTAAACTTTCAATCCAGTCTAGATTTTCAAAAGGGACAATTTAACCTTTATCACTGGGCAAAAATGAATTTTCCAGAGTATTAATGAATTTCTGTCTCATCCATGCTTTGAAGTTTCGATACCATTCTAAAAGCTTTTTTCTCCTTTGAATCTTATCCTGTAAGCTCAGTTTTTTTTCTTTCTCTAGAACAGCAGGAAGCTCTTTCCAGTTTTTAATAAAGATAAATGGAGCCCCCATGGTCTTTAATAATTGTAATGGAGCACTGTGGTACATGGATGAATTTCCACAATCGCCCGGTGTCATTACATCTTCTATAACTGGCAGAGATCCATATGAAGAAGCTTCATAAATTCTATAGCATTCTGTATTTATTCCCACTGGACACAATGTCAAATCACTCTGCAGCAAGGCATCTTGATAGTTTTTGAAACTTTCATTTGTTTCTTGAGGCTGCCACCTAGGAAAGTAAAGTGGTTGAAAATTACTATTTTTCCCCACACACACTGTAATGAAAAAAGTAAGAGATATGCTTTTGTTTCAATTATCTATAAAACTGAAAATGCTGTCAACATAAGAGTTTTACATTGCACACACAATGAATTGGCTTTTACTTTTAGTCTTAATTATACCTAAAAGAGTCTTTTAAAAGTTTTTTGAAAATGTCAGTCACTGTAAAAAACAGACTGCAACACTTCTAAGATATGGTCCTTTTAGGAAATTATTAATACTTAGAAGTATAACAAGCAAATTGAAACACCACTTTAAATCTGCATGACCTGGATGATGCATATGTCAATTTACTTCACATCACAGTTCAGAAACAGACATACAGGGAGACACTCAATGGACTTCTTAATTTTTTTTTTTTTTGACCTCAAATACTTGAACTCAATAGAGGTTTCCACTTCAAAAGTTAGGATGTAAAGCAAGCCATGAAGCTGAATCCATATGCTTGAAGCACCTTAGAGTACCTTTTATGCCACAGATACAATCCATCTCCTGAGATTCTTCATCAGGGTAGCTGAGGTCTTTCCAATGCTATCAAACATTTTACAGGTGTTGCTTGGCAAAATTAATACATACAATCAGAACCATGATCCTGTTAGTCAAAAGATCTGTTCTACCTACTTGAAATGAGAGCCATGCTGTACAGATTAAAGCCGGTCTCTTATATGGAACACAACAAAACACAGATGTCTTTTTGTTCTGCTAAGACATTAAGACACACAAGGTGCGAGACAAATTTTTCTTCTCCCACCATAATCAAATGTATATAACGAAAAAAAAAAAAGGTCTTTGTATGTAATATACATCAGGGATTTCTCTATATATCTAAAAATATGCTTTATGTAAAATATAGCAACAGAAAAGCTGTCATGTTATGAAGACCTAAACAAAGAGTGTCAGGAATGTTCTCCGTTTTAATTATGACTGGTTACCTTTAGTTGTACTATTCTTTAATGTTCAAGAAAGGATTGGTAATAACAAACCAGGCAAAAAAAGTAAATCAAAGTCTTACTGTTCTCTGGCTGCAATCCAGCAAAGTTTGTCAAGCCCATCCTGCTGCAGAACTTCCATTAGCGTTTCCCTAGAAGAGTTCTTATAAACTGTTCCTAAGAAATTACATAGGTAAGATCTTGGATCATGTAGCATTGACCAGCTGGGTTCTACAACTGGAAAATTTCTGTAGCTGTAAGAACAACATACGCATTGGACAACTGTATGTTTTACATCAGAAGAAAAAACATTTTGCATCATTTCATCTTTACTGAAGCATATTCTAAGACTAAAATAACCTATTTGTTCTCAATACACGTCTATAAAAACAGACACACAAGCAAGCTAGTGCAAGTTGTGTCCTAAAAGTTTGTCTCTATTCCCTTTGCCCTCTCTTCAGAGACTTTCCAGATTACTTACGTTTTCTTTTGACATCAGAGATATTACATGTGCATGTTACAAAATGTCCTTGAGAAACATGCTTTTTCAAAAGCAGCTGTTCTTGATACAACCTCTAGTTGTGACTGAAATGGCTTGGTTAATGGTAACTATGGAGTTTAAGTGTCAGCTACCTTAATCTCTGGACATACTTAATAACTGAAAATACCACTGGTATCCTCTCAAAGTAAAATCTCACTTTGATCTGGGTGGACTTCATTAATCTAATCTTTTGGCTACTAAATAGCTGTCATACAAGCTATTTAACTTGTCTTTTTGGACTCAACAAAACCAATGCAAAGTCTTGGGATCCAATGTAAACTGTATGCCACCCTTCTAGACATCTTTTCACCACATCAGACATTTTTATTTTGACTGATTCCTTGAACTGTACTTCACTGATTTTGGTCAGCATGACAGTCAGTGAAACACTGCTGCAGCTGAAGGGCTGGCACTAACTCTTTCATTACATAAAGTTAGTATTTTTTCTGCAACAGCTGAATGTTAAGAAAGTTTCTGCTCCTTTGCATTCTCAAAGACAGACAGATACTCCTTCTACTGTTGTTATTTTTGCTGGATCACTGTTCTACTTCCCTGTTGTTTCTTTTTTATGTAAGAAAAGCTATACTCTGATCCAAATTCTTACTGATTTCAAAGGTAGTCTCTATATCATATTGATTTCTCCATTGCTGTTAATGGTTCTGAAGACATATTCAGTTTCTTTACATTCCCAAATTTTGATGGAAGACTCCTTTTCTCATTCTGCTGAGTGATGAATGTTAGTTCACTTACTTTCAGAGAACCATTTTTTCTTCAAGTCAAATATTTTTGTAGGGTTCTACATCCCCGTTTTCCCTCTTCATTTGGAAAATCTGGCACATCTGCACACCTTTAACCACAATTTTTACAACTGTTGGTGTGTAAGGGCTGCAAAGCCCCGTTCTCATACCTGATTCATCTTTCTTCACCCAGCTTTGCACTGCAGTTTACTGTTATAACTATTATTACTTTCTGTTATGTCACCTTAATGTTTGCATCTCAAAACTCAACTTCTTGCACAGGAACTTCCAATGCCATCAATCCTCAGACACCACCAAGAATTCAAATCTAGTCTATTTCAATTGCACTGTGTTCAAGCCACATATATAAACTCCATAGTTTGCCTGATGGCTCAATACAGGATATTGAATTTAAATTCAACACAAGATATGAATATAATCCTGTATTCTTTTCATCTTATATTACCATAAGTAGCTAAACCACTATTAAGTCTGCTAATATGGAATAAAAATGCATCTAACTGAACCAAACCTTTATATACTCCACATAAATAGCTTAAGCAGTAAGCATACAAAAAACGTTTTTGTGAGTAAGCAGCTAAACCAGCTTATATGTGATACTGGAGTATAGTAATTACAAACGGGAGCCATAAAATTTCCTTTTGAGAGAAATAAAAAGGGTAAAAAAAAAAAAAAGTACCACCAGTACCATCCCTTTCCTAAACACGCAGTAGCTGGAATTTAATTACGTGAATATCTTTTAAATCCCTATGTCACTGGTACGTATTACATCAGCAGTTATGATAAATCTCAACAACAGATCTACTAAAGAAAAACATAATCAAACAGAAAACCCAACCAGACACAGGTTCATTTTTTTAAGCTTCCTAAATCCCAGCATTCTTCTCCTGTTACCATTTTTATTGCTAAATACAATTCAAAAGATTCCATTGCTTGATTTAGAAAATCATTAACAGGCTCACATTGTGCTGTTTACTTACTATAATTGCTTTGGGTATCAGCAGTAACATTCTGGAGTATTTCCGATACCTTATGCATAACAATTCTATTTCAATCATAACTTGTGTCTAGAGCACTTACGTAGCTACTCCTAAAGGCCACTGGAAAATATCTTCTTCATTTACCAAAGCATAGTCATACGTAATAAAGAGTAGATTTACAAATCCTCCATTTCTTTTCAGATATGGTTGAATCCATTCATTGTTGCACTGCTCACTTCCAAGCAGCACAACCGCCACATGCTGCAGTTTGTGAGTCTGAATTAACGTTTGTGCGTAATGCAACCACTGAGTGGCGTAAGAGACCTTTGCTTTTTCTCTTCCATTCAGAACTAGCACAACATTTTCAGCTTCAACTGAGAAGTAGCCAGGAACTACAGATGGACCAGTGATGAAGCTGTGAAAACCAAAATACAAACAGTAAACACCCTTAAGGCAAATTATTTACCTTAATGCTCTAAACATCCTTACTACAGTCCGTATTCCAGAGATATCTTTTTTTCCTTTAATAAAGTAAATGCAGTATACTGTGGGAGACAATGGAAACTATTGCCGAAGAGAAGTAAATGCTTGGCTGGAGAAGAAAGAGTTAAAGAAGAAACAAAGTACAATCAAGCAGAGCAACCCAGCTGGCTGAGGAAGAGAGAGCATAAGATGCCAAGACACCTGGCTGAGGAGGAGAGAGCATAAAGAGACTGGCTATTCTGGGACTGGTTGTGAGATGGCAAGCAGTGTTAAAAAAAACAAACTGTAAGTCAGGAACTAAGCACGATAGGCTACAAATAGAATGGTATAAAAGCTAGAGCAATAGGCTAAAAATAACTGTTGTTAGAATGGTATAAAAAGTTAGAGCAGTAGGCAATAAGGAGATTCACTGCATGAAGATGCTCTGGGTCCGTGCCTTCATCCCCCCAGTATACTGCAAAGTAACTGTGAAGCTGTAACCAGTTCTGTTGTTAGTATGTACAGTTTAACACGGGAATAAAGCTGCCTTCATTTTTTATTCAGGAAAATGGAGATTAAGACTTATGAAAATAAGGTATTCTGTCAATAAATCAGAACTACTAACATATTCCAAACTCAACATGTGGGTCAACCAATCAACTGTTAAAAAAAAAAAGGGATATACTTTGATGTTCACTGAAAGTCAACCTTTTTTTAATTCCAGTAATAACCAATGAATACTGTATCAGAACAAGAGAAAGGCCCTCCCAAAAATCTGTAAGAGTATACTAAACCAAGCATCTTTCTGAAGGACTGGTCTGGCATACTACTTTTCCCTGTAATTTTGGTGCAGTTAAAATTAGACCACAAAACCATTGTGTCATCTGATACTGAGTATAACCAGCAACATGAAGGGTATCTCAGTAAATGTAAACTTATGTTGCCTGAGTGACCCAGATCAAACGTTAGGCTCTGATACAAACTAGTAAGCACAAATATTTCAGGTAGAAAATTGCATTTCTAGAGCTTTCACAATGTATTTCACAGAGGAATTTCAATCATGTAGCAAAATCATTAAGTCACTAATCATTTACAAGTATCTGACAACAGCAATTTATGAACCTAAATTAAGCAAACCAGTGTTTGCTTCAGTTCTTGTTCTTCAGTAACTGCTATTTATTGACTGAACTCAAAGGATTAGTGATTACAGCCTCCTGAAGAGTAGAAAGGAAAACAAACCCAGACAACAGTAGCTCCCTATCACCTCTCCCC